CGTCAGCAACTCAAACACAGTCTTTGCCTTGGAGCTGTTCCGCACTCTGAACCAGGCAAACTCTGCCGGGAACATCTTTGTCTCTCCTCTGAGCATCAGCTCAGCCCTGGCCATGGTCTACCTGGGAGCTAAAGGAGACACTGCAGCTCAGATGGCTCAGGTCAGCTCACTGTCACTTGTTCCCTGCACCAGCTGTCAGTTGATCGGCGACCATGATTGTGCAACTTCAAGCCCTCGTTACAGTTTAAAAGCAGTCAGATGTGGCTGTCTGTGTTTTTCTATACAGAAGAAATAATTTTATTTTGTTGTTTTGATTTGTCTTTATATATATATATAAAAATCTGAACTTTTTTGCTACAAGAGTGCTGGCTGGCTGAATAGTAAACTAACTAATAAACTAATAATTCTTGTCCTCGGTAGATTTATAAATAAATACATTTTGGGGTTTCATTTAACATCTTTGAAAAGCTTAATTTTCTATGTATCCAAAACACTGAACCCCAAGATGTTTCCAGTGGGACGTCAGAAATTTGTGTCTACCATATGAGGATGGAGTGTGTTATATAAATGGCATGAAAGTCCATAAAACGCACAAGCAGTATAGTTACTGAGAGCATGATGTTCAGTGAGACTGACAGTATGTTAAAGGTTATTATTAAACCTGATGCTGAAAGAATAAAGTTGTCCAGTTTCTACCTTTGGACCATAAATTGTTACATTAGGGTCGCTCAGGCTCAGTGTCACATCCTGTCAGTCTTTGTCTTCAATGCCACACAGGCCCTCTCATTCAGCTCAGGTGAAGGCATCCATGCAGACTTCCAGAAACTGAACGCTGACATCAACTCACCATCTGCATCCTACATCCTGAAAGTAGCCAACCGTCTTTATGGAGAAAACATTGCCCACTTCCTCCCAGTGAGTGTCCACATCAATGATTCTCTTCATAAAGTTCTTCATTACAAAGACTGGATTAATAAACAGATGTCTGCTCTCTGCAGGACTTCCTTGACGCCACACAGAAGTACTACCAGGCAGACCTGAAGACTGTGGACTTCATCGGAGCTCCAGAGGCGTGCAGAGCAGCGATCAACAGCTGGGTCGAGCAGCAGACAGAAAGTGAGAATGTGCATCTTCCACAGCCTGAACAGCAGGGAATCATTTTAGCATCCTCTGTGGATTATAATGAAATATTGTTGTTTCTGTATTTCCTGTCAGATAAGATAAAAGACCTTCTGAAGCCAGGAACAGTCGACGCAGATACCAGACTGGCTCTGGTTAATGCTGTCTACTTCAAGGGCAACTGGAAGAACCCGTTTAAAGAGGCAAACACCAAAGAGATGCCCTTTAAAGTCAAACAGGTAGAAATTTAACTGAAGGTTACAAAATCTGGACTCAAAGTCTGAATACAGGAAACTGTAAAATGTTTAAGGTAAACACCATCAGAAGCTTTATGATAACATGATCTGGTCGCCTGGATTTCCTGTGTGTCAGAATGAGACCGTACCAGTCCAGATGATGTACCAGAGGAAGAAGCTTCCCTACAACTACATTGCTGACCATGATTTGCAGATTCTGGAGCTGCCCTATGTGGGTGAGGAGCTCAGCATGTTCATTCTGCTGCCTAAGGAGTCCTCAGACGGCTCAGACCCTCTGCTGAAGGTACACAGCCTAGAAACAAGTTCCTGTAAAGAAAAGACACAAAAACTCTTCTGCTTCGCTTCGGTTTACTTAAATTTGATCATTTAACAGACCGCTTCTGATTTCATGTATAAAATGAATTTAAATATGAGCAAAAGAAATATGACAAAATGTATTAACTGTGTTCCAGCTGGAGAAGGAGCTAACACAGGAGAGGCTGAATGAATGGACCGACAGGAAAAACATGGAAGTTGATTTAGAAGTTGTCCTTCACCTGCCAAAGTTCAAGCTGGAGGAAGACTACGAGCTGAATGAACCTCTGACTAAACTGGGTATGAAGGACGTGTTCTGTGCAGGAAGGGCTGACCTGTCTGGCATGAACGGTGAACCTGGGCTCTTCCTGTCTACGGTGGCCCACAAGGCCTTTGTGGAGGTTAATGAGGAGGGTACACAGGCCGCTGCAGCCACAGGTGTTGTGTTCAGGAATCTTAGTTGTGGACGGACCAGATACTTCACAGCAGATCACCCCTTCCTCTTCTTCATCAGACACAACGAGACCAAGTCCATCCTGTTCTTTGGCAGATTCTCATCTCCTCAGTAGACAGAAGCAGCAGAGGAAGATGATGTTGCAATTCAAATAAATACATCTATGAAATAAAGTAAATGGAGTTTTGTGTTGTGATATTTTGCTATTTATAAAACTGTATTTTTCTCTGGAACATTTTATTACTTAATCAGACACACACGTGTCTCTTTTATTAAAAACAAAATGTTCTTTTACAAAATAGATGGTACTTGTATAAAATCACAAGTTCCACCAGCTTTAGAGAACATAGATACTGTGTCCTCCAGACTAAAGAGGAAACTCCAACTTATTATCAAGAGTCTGCAGCTCTGATGGTATGATGGTGCATCTATGAACTGGCAGTATGCTCTGGAAGGGCCCCAGCAATACTGAAAGGTATATATAGGGGTTAGAGCAACACATTTTTCAGGGAAGCCCTTGTTTGTTACAGTATACTAAACTGTAGCTATTACAACAGCAATGAAAAGTGAGCAGCTAGAATCCAAGATCGGATAAAAATCTAGTAGCTGCTCTCATCACTGACAGCTTTTTGAGACATGTTGTCATGATGTTCAAAAATAGGTTTTTTTGCTTAAATTCGATTTTTTTCAGTTTGTGCATCTGACATGATACATGATTTTCTGTGTTTGACTGAGAATAACACATGGAAAATCATTGCAGTCTGTTTTTATATACATTTTACATAGTCTCTCAACATTTTTTGAAATTGGGGTTGTACATTAAACACAGAGCGTCACAGACTTTACTGATATCTGATTAATTGAACTGCTTCTGCTCTTCAGTAACATTTCTCAAATTATGCTGAGGCCTGTAGAGCTATAGCACACATCACAGATATTAATGACATCATTAGTAACCTGTTCAGTCCAGATGATGTACCAGAAGAAGAAGAAGCCCTACAACTACAATCCATGACCAAGGTATGAAGATCCTGGAGCTGCCCCATGTGGGTGACCAGCTCACCATGTTCATTCTACCCAGTATCCCCCAGCGTCTAGATCAAGGGCGTAGATTTGGCATGGACGGAAGGGACATGTTCCCACCAATATTCAGCGATTATTGAATTGTCCCCACCAATAATTTGATCTATTCGAGTAAAGAAAATCAAACCCGATAGAAAGAAAAAAAA